GTACTGTACAATATATTTTCTCACTATGTGGATTTTCTACTGCTTATACGGAGTAGAATTAATATCAAAGGGGACTGTGGCATTAAACTGAATTATATTTTGTTTTTCGGGAAATACCAATAAGGCATAGGATACTCAGTATGTGACATTTATGGTCAGGCCTTGCAAATACTGACTCTCGGAGAAGACCCCAATAAACACGGTGCCTGGCAGCGGGTGTCTGTAGGATCGAGTCCCGATAGTAACGCACCGCCGAGAAATCTGAGGCGGAAAGGCAGGTCCTCTAAACATCACCGAGACCAGGCCAATGCTACTCCCAGTTTCACCTCTTTCAAAGGAATAAAGGAATAAGACGCTCTTATTAACATTTTAAAATGATTTCTACCTTCTCCCCAAATTCTCTATATGGATTCAGTTATCGTATTTCTCTCGACTTCTTAAATGGTTTCCACAAGTAATGAAAGATCTTAACACAAATTTCAATACTAAGCAGCATTTTCCGCTCCTTCTCCGAGTTAATTCCCTACATACATTTTATAACATTATTAAAATGTCCCTTTATTTTTAAAGCTGTACCTTTATTTTTCTATATAAAATAAATTGGACTTGAATAACAATCTAACAGAGGTTATTCAAATGACGACTCTTCAAATAATAGACTCTCTTTTGGCATCATTTTAAAGATAGTGGGAGCTTAATTCCCCCAGAACTAAAATTGGCTACGTTACGGTATCTTGCAGTCCTCTTACTCTTTGCAGAACTGCTGTTTGAAGGAATGAGGGGTAGCTGCAACAAAATACATGACAGTGGAACCCCACGTATCCAAACTTGTATTAATACCAGTTGGGGTAATACAACCCGATTTTAAAATACAGATTTCTGGGAGCAAAACCAGATGTGTATAAATGGTATTTTACCGAATACGCATCTGTTTTTTTTTTTCTTTTGCGGTCTCTAATTATTTTTGCCTTAAAAAAAAATGAAGACCGTGGAATCAAGGACGGGCTTCATAAGCACTGAACTTGGAAAAGAAAATACAGCAGGGGACACATTTAATACATTCTTAAGGAAAAAAATGACTCACGAAAGCCCTAACTTACCCAAATCAGTATGCTATAAAGTGATAGTATTAGCACTATTATTTTGAGCTTGGTAACGTCAGTAAAGACATGAGATTCTGGGACGTTTCAGAGAAGTCTATGGTATTGAGAGCGAACTGAATTCAGAAGATTTGCAGTCGACTGAATTCAGATTTGCAGTCCAACTGAACTTGGTTACGGGCCTACGCACATCCGGAGGAACTACCGTCACCTGGTTATTCCTACAGCCACCTCTCCTTTTTGTAATTTTCACTCTCTTAAGTACGTATTAAACATTATTTTAAAAGCAAGGAGCACAAAAAGATTAACCCCCCAAATATCAACTTCAGAAGCAGCTGTCAAACCTGGCGAAAACACAGCAAAACGTTTTTCTCCTATTTGCAGCCAACCCAACGCTAGCGCTGCGAGTGCGATCACTGGCGGTCACAGAGCCACCTCCAATCCCAAGCACGCTCAATTTATCTGGCTCCACCAGCGCTACGTCACAAAGACACGGTATGGGAAGCAGCCCAGTAGCTGAGACGCAGGGCGATCAGCAAGAGAGAACAGCGCTTGCTTCAGAAACTGCTCGCGCTTGGCCAGTACAAAATTGGGCGCCGCCTGATTTCCACAGCAAGATGGTTTTTCAGGATCAAGTCGAGGTGTCGGGCCATACTGCGCTATCAGTTCTCAAGCAGAGGAACTGCTTTTTGCCAGCCCGACCCGTTTAGACACTGATCATCTCATGTGGCCCACTGTTTATCAACTCAAATTTGATACAGAACAGCTTTACGTGCATTACTTTACACAGAATTTCCTAATATACTCCGTTAGAAAACACAATCAGTTGCGAGTTGCACATCCCATGGGGTCAATGTTCATCTACGGAACTAGTAAAAGAACCTGTACATCTGTTACATACAACTTGCCAAAGAGAAAGTGTTTTAAATTAAAAGTTTAACAATTAATTGTCTTTAAAGTGGCTTCAAGATTTTTGAAATACTTTGTTAATTCATTCACAAACATGAATGCACAGACATATATTGTCTTTAGATACTAAGGTAGTTGTTATCACCTTTATTGGCTAAATTGTCATTAATCCAAAAGAGTCCTAGTGAAAAACTCGGATAACAACCAAAAAAACCACGTTTCTATAAACGTTTCTAAAAATCCTCTGTTTAAGCCAGAGCTTAGGAACAGAACTCTGATCTCCAATAATATTTTAATAACAAGAAGAAACGGTGTGAGGGCTGGAAAATTAGTCTTACTTGTATTCATTCAGGAATACAGGAACTTCACAATTTTATATAGCGCCATTGCATAATAAATCACAATACAGCTGGCTAGCATCGCTGAAGTTCTAATACAAATACTATGAGTTAACATGTCCTGATCAACATCGCAGCTTTTGCTATTACCGTGTTTCCTAAAAATCATTTACTTTTTAAAATAAAGAGTTCCCATAGCTTGTGCCTAGAATAAATTAAGAATATATTAGCATGTTCGGTATATTTGTACTTAAAGACATATCTATCTTCAAAGAATAAAAAAACCCAGCAAGCAAGGGGACCTGCTGGCTCACTTATAACTGATTTCTTATATTAAAATGGAATGGGCAGTGGGAGAGGAGAGGGTGAACTAATTACACACAAGAGTAAAGTAAACTTAAACCCACGTAATAAAGGAACTCAGTGTGTTCGTTCAAGGCAATACACGACTTCCCTCACAAGCCTGTTTTTATTAGAACAAACAAAGTCGTTTTGGCACTTCAGATGCTGCAGGTGATGGAATTTGTGCATACGTGTTGTGTAGATCTTTTCCCTTTACTAGCGTGACATGGAAGACTTAAAAACAAGGCTCCAAAAGGCTGTAGAAATTAATGACATTTTTGTCTAGGAAATGATAAAGCAGTAACCTTGTTTACTAGAAAATATACGTAGGTGCTTCGCAGCTACCTGCCGTTAAAAATGCAAATATCTTCAAGCAGTTAAATGATCCGATCCCTAACGCTACTACAGAATAAAGATAAACAGCTGTCTAATCTAGGTTTATACATCTCAGTGCATCCTTTGCAATTAATACTTTAATGCACACAAACAAGAAACTTATTAAAGCTTATAGAAAAAATGTTTTGCCTAATGCCTTCTTTCTCATGCAGGTATGTGTGCTGTACATGTAACAAAGGTTTGTAAAAATTACTGGAGAATGCTCCACTGTGCTATAGCAGAAAATACTAGAGAAGGCAGCTGGAGCTACCATTCCCAGACCAGATCTTGCTGTGCTTTCGCAGCCTGAACGCTCTTTTGGAACCTGCGGGCATTCGGCCTGAGAAAATCAAACAGGATCAGGTCTGTCACATCCATTCTCAACTCTGTTACTCCAATGGATGCAGATATTTTCTTTTTTTTTCTTGGTAACTGGCCCATTCGCATCATCTAGTGGCGTTGAAGGCTGCCTTTTAGGCAGTGAAGTTGTTTAAAAAATTAATCGTGCATCCGCAATCTTTTAATGCTGCTAGAGATGTACATCACTTTCGGCTGTACCAGATATGAGATGAATTAACTTTTCTCTTTGTTAACATCGAGAAGATAACCAGACTCGACGGTGGTGGAAAATGCCAGTGATCTTTGCTAACTGGTCCAGAAAGTAGAAGAAACGGTAATATTCAGGAAATCCATTTAGTGCTACATGCTTTTAAAGCCTACTTTTAACAGGCTTTGGGAAGAAAATAAGCAAATATAAAAGTTAATGATCCTCATTTTTGAAAAAATAGTTTTGACGCGAACCTGCATTCAAAAAATGCATGTTCAGCATAGTTCTGTCAATTTTAGAAAGCACATGCAGTGGGGAACTTCAGGAGTCTCTGCTTAAAGACATTAGTGGGTTGTACAAAACGGTCATTGACGGTAACTTTCCCAATCCCAGTGGATCTAAGGCTTCACTGACCATGTAAGACATAAGGGCCAACCACGAAGTTTCTCTGTTTAAAGGAACTGGAGACTCAAGAGGCGAAAAGAAGCGATTGTTAGGAAGTAAGGCAGCAGTATCTCCAAACATTTATCATAGTTCTTTGAATCAAAAATGTCAGCTCTACGACTTTACTGGGAGCAGATTTTTTTTTTTTTTTTCTGATGCTCCATTTTTATTGCAAGCTAATTCTGACCAATACGTTATTTGAAATGTTCATCATTTAAGAGTATTTAACCCTGCCCTCAGATTTCTTTACTGTAATTTAAACTGATCTTCTGGAGAGTTCTTGTGCGATGCTGGAATTTTCAGACATTCAAAGATGGATTCTGAAAGATGTAACATACAGGTAGGTACTTGGATGTACTGGAATGTAGGTACTCTACATACTGGGTAAGAAGAGCGTATTGTTTTCCATTTAAAAAGGCAGAATACGAAAAACGGGAGAAAAAATATTATGTATCTATACATTAATGTTCCATTTTGGGACTACTAGCTGTATTCAGGTAAATGAGAGAAAAAAAAAAATAAATTCTCAACCCCTAACCATACAAACTATTCTTAAATTTGTTCCTTTTCCTGTTTCTATTTCCCCTTCTCCTGTCAGAGTTCATCATTGCTGACCGCAACGAAAATGTCAGTACTGGCTAAACTAAAGAAATCATTTTGCTGCAACATTCATGCCAGGTCTAAAAATAATTTCAAACTGGAAAGTATTTTGTAACTGCTGCAATAGTTTGTGATATTTGGCACTATCGCTAGTTTACATTTGGTTTGTCCGAAAAAGCCATTCTGGAAATAAGCAGTTAGAATAAAACCTTTTATTCTAACTTTAAATGTAAATTGAGCTTCCAGCAAACAAATACTGCAGCTGACTTTCTGGCTTCTAGTGGTTGGTAATTTTCAGATTTTTCATGTGGGTTGGTGTTGGTGTTTTTTTTTTTTTTTTTCAATTGATTGCAACATGCTCAAGTCGACTTTCCAGTCAATTCACCCAAATTCCAACAGGAATTGGTTTATAAATTGGTTCCAACTGGAACTGGTCATTTGGAATTTCCAGCACAGGAAATTATTTTATAAGTGCCTTGATAAGTACCCTAAATTACAAACGGATGCGTCTAATATCTAACGACAAGAAAAAGTATGGCTATCAATGCAAATGCTGTACTAAAGAAAAAAAAAAAATCAACCTATATGATCGGGCATAAATGTAAGGGCATGGTAAATTTTTTTTTGCCCCCTACTTAACATCGAATGACAGCAGAGTGCAACTGCGGTATCACCGCGTTACGTCTGCCAAATTAAGATGATTTTTTTTTTTTTTCTTTTCTTCCTAGCTACGTTATGGCAAGTTATCAACTGATGAATACTATTTTTCCCCAGGTTCTTGAACTCAAAGCCTGTGTCGCGAATCATGGCTATATCCTCCAGGGGATCCTCGGTTCCTGTGGGGTTTGTAAGTGTCCTGGTATGAGTCAGAGTATTCTTCTTCCACCAGAGGATAGTGATCTCGGCTGTGTTGGGAACTGGAAGACAAGCGGTTCCTGCTCTTCCCAGCCCTTTCGTTTTGATAATTTTCATCTGAGGTCATTAGGCTTCGTCGCTCAATTGGAGAGTTCTCTGCAGAATGGCTGCTGTGCCTCATACGCTGGCTCTACGAGTGCCAAAGAACCCAAGCATTAATACCGACAAAGAGGATTTCACATTTTTTTTTAGCTTGTTTTCAGACTTATTCTGAGGTCTTTCAGAATCCATCCACTTTTCTGTTACTCATTTTATATTAAATTCTGTATGCTACAGGAATGGGTCACAAGAATTGTCTGGTTCCTAGAGCCGAAAGCAGACCGAACGCGGTATTACAGTGGGTACCTCATGGTATTCACCTTGTTAAACGCTACAGGCCACTCAGCATGAAAAGTGAGCTGATGTATTCAGCATTTATCACTTTTCTCTGATCATGAACATAACATTCATGCTTCTGTTCTGCTTAGGAAATTATCAGCATTGATTTATGCGGTTTTAGAAAACATCTGAAGATGTTTGTGGTTTTGGTTTTTTGGTTTTTGGGGTTTTTTTTTAAAGGGCTGGTTCTGAACCCTATTTAAAAACCTTCATATGACCAAACAAACGATGGACTGCTAACCAGGCAGCTAAGGGGTGGCTACAATGATTAGCTACTAACAAATTCTTTCAACTAAAACATCATAAATATTTTAGATATGTTGACAGAAAACCCTTTTCTAAGGTAATTTATTAATTAAAAGGTTTCACCTTTGCTATCCTCACGTTCCCATAATGATCATGTGCGACATTTGTCACACGAACAAAGTTACTTCATGTTTTTTGCCAGTAAACTGGCACAATGAAGAAACAGCCTAAAAAAATGTATTTAGCTTGCTGTCATCGCCCATTAAACCTCTCTAGAGTACAGCCATCCATACTCAGAACCAACTCGGTCGATACTTTTCCTTTTCCAGAGTACACACCCAACGTCATCCTTCTGATGCTCTAATCGCCACGAGAACGCTGCCGCGATGGCTGCACTCTTGCGGCCGCACGTCCCCGCGCACGCACAGCATCGTCTGCTCCTCTCGGTTCTGAAATTCTGGCCGACGCTCTCTGCGCTATCAAACCTTCCTCCTGTTGCTGCACCCTCTCTGTACGGCAACTGTTCAGCTGCAGAATTCATAGCAGACGGCTTGTCTGCACGGGGAAGCGTCCGTGCAGGTGGGTATAGGTTTACAGCACAGCAGATACGGTGTCGCATCTCTTTCTGCGGATCGATGCTACCAAGGTTACTCCCTGAGAGGTTCCACGTAACGAGCTGGCACGGAAAAGGTGCCCTGCAAATTCACACACTCAGCTACTGGGCAGCAACTTCTACCACATTACCCCCAAGTTTTCCTTATAGTATCACGTTTCAGTAGTGATTATATGTCAACAAATTATACTTCTCACATTTATTTGACCTAGGCATGCAATTTTGATATATAATCACCTAATCAATCGCAACTTCAACCTTCTGTGCTCACACCTTCTATCCTCCTTGTAGCAACCGACCTCTCTTGGCTGCAACCCGCTCCTTTCTAGAAGCCTTCCTGCTTCCCTGCCTCCATTGTGTAGTCATCCTGATCCCACTATTTACCTCCTGAGAGGTGTAAGCATGGCACAAAACTGGTGTGGATACCTGCAGGTCTTACGCCCCAACTAACTTTTGATCCTGCAGCGCAATTGGAACGATAAGCAGCATTATGTTTTCTGCAGTAATGGACTTAAAATGCAAATCCCCTGGAGCCTAAGAAACTCCTACATCCCCAAAACGTGAGCTACGGGATTTAAGTCCATTCGCTGAAATCAGACTAAGCTACGTAGGTTTAGAGCTAACCAGGGATTAGCCACAAAGGCCAACGACTGGCCCCCGGGAGTTGGCAACGACAAAATTGACTCTTCCTGTTGAGGGCTGCAAACACACACAGCTCGGCGTCGACATCTTCCCCTTTTAGGCAAGGTCATGACCAAGGCCCAGATGCCCACCGGCTTCGGCAGCCATGCCACACCCACTGCGACGGGGCGCAGCGTATGCCCTCTCTTTGACTCTCCTGTATCTACGCCATTTAACTTCACCCTGATGACCTTCATGAAGCCCAAAGACTTGAGTTAAATCAGAAGTTTCGATTCTCGGTAAACTACAGTCCGACCCACAATCAAGTAAAAAAAGGGACACTCCTAAAGTCCCGATTAGGTGAAGTATGTACAGATTGTCCCAGCAAATCTGCATCCTTCTCAGGTGTGACTGTGACACGAGGCTCTGGGCTTTTGGGATTCAGTTCCCCAAGGTATCAGGCGAGAAGGAGTCACAAGGTCATAAGAAGCATAAATTCTTAATATATCATAAGCGCCTAAGCTAGTTTAATTCCTAGGATTCGCGCGAGTGCTTTATAATTACCGTACCACATCATTACGGTTCAAACTGATGCAAATCCTTCTGAAGGCTTAAGTTAATATAAAACCTCTAGGTGGGTAAGCCTTCAGATCATAGAATCACAGAACCATGGAATGGTTTGGGTGGGCAGGGCCCTTCGGAGCCCACCCAGCCCAGCCCCTGCAGTGCCAGGGACAGCTTTAACCAGCCCAGGGTGCTCAGAGCCCCGTCCAGCCTGGCCTGGGATGGTGCCAGGGATGGGGCCTCCACCGCCTCTCTGGGCAACCTGGGCCAGCGCCTCACCACCCTCACTGTAAAACATTTCTTCCTTATGATGATGACGGAAGCCTTTACCGCGAGATAACCGCGTGCAACGTCAGAAATCTTTAAATGGGCCTGAACGCTTCCGTGGCACTGAAAGGCAAACCCTGCCGTCTCTAGCTGGGCGTCATTCGCTCAGGGAGAAATTTACCCCTCTGCAGAGAACTAGCACCATTCAAGTCCCACCTAAGCCTTCACAATGCGGGTGAAGTGGGGATTAAGTGATGCGTACCTTCAGCCAGCCCACTGCACAGGGGTGATTTTCATCTTCAGTGTGAGTTTTCCCTAAGTAAATGGAGCAACATTTCACAGTTACTGCTGGTGTCCATTGATCAGAGAGAAATAAATGCCTGAAAAAAATTCTGCGGATACACCCAGTTTTCAAAACGAAACTGAAGAGGTGAAAGTTCTGCAGATGGTATTTTATTGTCATGAAGGGATGGAAAACTGAAATTTTAAGGCAAGTGAAAATGGAAACAACGGTTTACATGTGCATGTTATTAGTAACAGAACAGTGCTTGTGCATTCAGCCAGTCAGGGAACAGTGACTTACTGATCCTAATAAAATCAAGCACAGCATTAGAAATGTGAGTGTCGAGTCTCATGCACCTTCAGCGAAGTGCAATTCACTCACAGGAAAACCAGCTTTATGTTAATTGAAAACACTGAACAACGCATCATTTCCTTCAAAATTGTTACCTGCTTCCAGATACTCTACAAGCAGAACAGAGGTTAAATTTGTCAGGTGAATTATTCATTAAATGCAATTTGCTCAACTCTACTTTTGACAGACATTAGGAAGTGCACACTCCTAGAAAGTCACACACACGCAGAACTCCTTCTGAAACTTTCAGACTTAAAAGTTCGCTGCAATCCTGATTTTCTCAAGCATTCATAACTATTAATCAAAAACATTTTCTGTTTTCAAACTTAGTAAAGCACGTACTTCTCATTAAGGACTATTTACATGCCACGTTTGAAGTTTCAAAGTTCAGCCGTTTTTGAGCTATCCCTGTGGAAAAAAATGGTCAGAATTTTTTTCAACGGGTTAAAAAAAAATTATTTTATTCACACTCAAAACTCAAAAAGGTGAAGGCATTTTGCTGATACAAGAGACAAGCATGGAAGTTTTTCACCCAAAAGTGAACGTTCTGTGAAGTTACGAGGGTAGAAATGAAAAGGGTCATCAGAGACACCGTTCTGCATTCTTAAATACAGCCGCTGTCAGCCCAACTGCTGTGCCATACTGTACATGCTTATTCCCGACCTGACAGGGGCTCATTTGCAGTGACATTTTTTCCAGATTAAAAAAAGGCCGTTCTCTAATACGGCTATAATACCACTCGGCAGAGCGGCACTTCGCTCTTCCTCAAGAACTCGCTGCTTGCCAGAAAACTTACGGCCGTTTTATTTCCCATTAAAGCCAGAGCAGTCACCGTGCTTCAGCACCGACTGCTGCTTCACCGACTGCGGGCCTCAGCTTGCCCTCTTACTGCTGGCAGTGGCCAAACAGCGAATAATAACTAACAAAGCGAATACAAGTTATGCTCTATGAAACATATTACGCTATTGTCCCACAGATTAAGGAAACCCACCTGATCTGCAGTGGCGTTTGGGGCTGAAATGTGTTTTCATACCTGTAATCCAGAGATTGCAGCAGGGTATGGTGAAAGTGCAGTGGATCCTAAATTTCGCCCAAGGAGAGGAGTCATGGGTGTGCTACTGGTGGTGTGAGTAGCACGCCAGTATGCCTCAAGATATTCTGCCAAGTGTTCGCAAGCATCTTCAAGCTGATTTTCATCCAAAATTACATCAAACATTTCCTGATCACAACAACAAAGTGTGGTTCATTACAATGTTACAGGTGAAAAGAGAGACGTTAAACAATTCTCATCACGCTAATCCTTTAAAGGTCAATAAATAAGAAGCAGAGCACGGGGTTGCAAGAGAAAATTATACAAGTGGGTTTGAGGCGATCAAACGCCCAAGCTCTCAGAAGTCACCGGATCCTTTCAGCGAGGTTCACCAGGCGTTGCGCGAGCCCTACCACGCTCAAAGGCATGAGACTCCTTCAAGGAATTTCTTTTGCTCCAGGACAGGAACTGAAGCTAGATGTCGGAGTAACGCAGGGGTGCTTTGCCTTGGTTTTGGACCCGAGGACTCGTGCAGACTTCCCTCATCCTAACTGTGAACACGTTTCCAGAGTGAATGATGCCCCTAAAACCACTTCCACTTCAGTGAAGGCAGCGTGCAGTTCTGCCGGCAGCAGCATTAGCTACGGCAGGACATCCAGCCGTTCAGATACTTACAGCTGGGAACTCTTCAGAGGCTCTCTCCATGCTCTGTTTGTTAACTACCTTCGTTTATGCCTGTCTGGATAGCCTCGCCTATCTGTGCTCGATTCTGCAAGACCTTCTTCCCTTCCAAGGGGACAGCACCTGACCATTCCTGCAAGTCCTGGTACCTGCCTCAGACCTGCTCACCACGCACTCCACGGAGCAGCTGTTCACCAGTGACCGTGGAAGGAATTCAAAGCCATGCGGCTTCTGTGCTACCCAAGAAGTCAAAGGGACGCTCTGCAGACAATGCTTTTAGATTATCAGCACGACGAGTGCTGATAACAAACAGCTGATAATAAACCATGATAAACTGAGTCCCTCGAGAAATATAAACGTATTTTCAGCAATGACATGGCATACCTCATCTTTAATCTTAAATGACGCCTTAGCGGAAAAAAAATACTGTGAAAATAGCACAGGAAATGAAAAGTAAGTGCAAGTGGTGCAGGTGTTAAAAGAGTAACCGATACAAACCACAGGCTGCTCTTCCTCCATGCATGTTTATAGATCTATCCAATATACATAGAGCCGGCGTCTCTAGAATAAGGTATCAAACTGCAGGATGAATCTATCATAAATCTTGATCCGGCATCTAACTTCTGCCCAAAAGTCTGGTCCAGAACTTACTTCAATACTAAAGCCATTTTATTTATAATTTATTCTCTCTTATCAGCACAGGAGAGAAATGTTTCCTCCTCTGCCAGCAACTACGGAGTTTTCCTCTAATAAACTCCTAACACTGCATCCTTTGGTTGAATTCAGCGTTTATCGCTGCTTGTTTTGCTCCTCTATTTATCTATACCCTTTGGACCCTCCTTTGCCATTTAAACACGTGTTGATACGCTACATACGCCATTATACCGCTCATTTGTGGAAGAAGTTAGTAATTCAAACGTAGTTAAGGCAGGAAATAAAAGAATGTGGTTTGCTTACATATACTTTGCTTTGGAAAATACTGAAATTAAAATATTACCCTTGGAATATAACGCGTGCTTTCTTAAATGAAGAATGAATATTGTCATTTTCTGGTCTGAGACTAGTAAGCGGTTTTCCTGCGCAGCTGGCCACTGATTTGAGGGCAACGCTGGCTGTCTTAGCAAACTCAGCTTTGCAGGTTGCAAGGTAATTCTGTCTCGAGGCGTATTTTCAGCTGCATGGGGCTTTAACAGCAAGCAGGTCAATGAATACTCTCCCAACACCCGCCAACCTCCTCCTGCTAAGCTAGGGAACGGCTGCTCAAGTTGCCTTTTAGCCTGGATCAGTTGATTCGGGGAGCTGACGAAATGCTGTATTGGCAGAACTAAACGTGCTGCAAGGTGGAGGTAAGGCGAAGAGCTGGGAGGTGGGAACGCCAGTACCGCTGCCTACGGCTGCCTTTCTTCACGGGGTAACAGCTTCGTGCACTTCTAAGAAACGCCCAGCTAACACTCTAGCTAACAGACCTAAACCACCCGCTTCTGAGATGGGTATGGAGCTTCGCGCAGCATTCTGACAGTGATCTCGATTAAACTGAATTGAGGGAAGAAGAACTTTTAACAGCTGCAGCAAGAAGTGTCACCTTTTTAACAGTTAACTGTAAAATAGCACTAGGGCCGGTAACGGCGAGCCTCTCGGGCTGTCATTTGAAGGGCACCTGGGAAAGCTGCAAAACTGGCAGGATCCTGATTCCAGAGCTCTGCAGTGTTTTACAGGGAAAAGAAGTTACAGAGAAAGCACTCAGGTCTTCTCTTGCAATTAACAGTTCTGCTCATAGCTAAACTGTGTTTGTTCTATTTCTATGTATTTGGGAGGAAAGAATCTTTTCAGGACATCCTTGTTTGCAGGGGTCATGGAGTAAAGCAGTTTCTTCCCAGCTCTGCTTACAACGCATTTTACGCATTGCAATATTTTCTTACACCATGCGTAACAGTTATCATATGAGCATTTCCATGTACTAGTATTTCTTAAGCGATAATACATTAAAGCAGTGGTCTTTCCTGAAGAGGAGATAAAATTAGTTGCCACTGTCCTCTGCCATTTCTTTTGCTTTACCGTATGACCACCGTGAAACATTCGAGGTGCGTTACCCCATGTTAGCAATGCAAAATAAAACGCTCAGGGCTCCAGAGGCATCCTCCTCCCCCCGGCAATGCTGGGGAGAGGCACCGAGCCGCAGGCAGAGCCCGGAGTCGCTACAGCTACGGGCGATCCCAAATTGCACCTCGCGCCCTGAGGTCAGGGGAGGCAAGCTCAGGCTCTGCAGGAAAAGATGCCCCAGCCAGGACTGCAAGGACGGAGGTGTACCTGAGGAGGAGGAATGTGAACTTGTAGGTATATCTGGTGTACTGGCTATTTTTAATTATACCAATGCATCTTAGCTCCGCTCGAGTGTAATTTCTGGTATTTTTTAGGTTATGTCAAACAGACCAGAGGGATACGTACCCTCTCTTAGCATTGACATGAATCCCAAAGTTTAAAAAAAAAAAATCATAACGAACTGCACACGATGAGTGTATTTAAAGCTGTATGGTTAGTACGGTTCATGTTTCCTTGAGCCATGTAACGTTCCTGCTTAACAGAGTCATGCAGCGATAGGCACGCTAAGCACTGGCTCGAGCAGCACCGGTGAAAGATTAGCAAGGAATTAATAATGAAAGCAGCTCCTGAACTTAAATATGCCCAAGAAGACAGCTATTTTTGAAGTGTCTAGACATACAGCACCATCTGATTACTTTAGGCTGGCTCTCAGCAAATGAAAAAAAAGTGAGGTTTTTATGGTTTTCAAGGATCTTCACTTGAAACAAATACTCCTCTTGCACGAATTTGAGCTGCGAAACAGACGAAGCAGGTCACAGTGCAGGAGACAGCCAGCAGTGTCTTTGGTCTTAGCAGTATACTTTTACTTAATTAAATCACAGATCAACTTGGTCCTTTAATTTAAACTTAGCCAAGACTGTCATCTCCCTTCGAGTGCTCTAAGTCAGCAATAACTTTCTTGAAATCAGGCAGTGCAAAACTGACCGGATGGTTTCCGCAGAAGGCTGTTGCGCAAGTCAGAGCGGAAGGCGGCCTCTGAGCAAGTACGGTTACAGGTTTGAAATCTGGAGACTCTGAAATTTGGAAATATTTTTCTTATCCAGGTGGGGTCTCACTTTGTTGCCTTAGGCAACAAAATACGACGACAGGATGGGGTGTTAAGGCAGAGCTTACTAGATCCAGGGGGTGGACAATCTACAACGAACAAGCTACAACGCGCATCCTGCTGCTGCACGCTCTTTATTCCAACCAGCGCAGCTACTTGCCTCATTTCAACTGGTGTGAGCAAACCTAAGTGGAATAAGAGGAAATCGCTGTATAAAAAGCAAACAAGGCTGTGAAACATGCAAGGGCTTCTCCGTGCAGGTGGAAAAACAAATACACCTTTCAGATGGGAAGAACGTGCAGCGGATTGTTGTGTGTGTGAGCTCAGCGACAGCCCGGCGTGAATACCACGAGCCGTATTCAAACGGGTGCAGGTGCGACGCCATTTAACTTGGCTCACGCCCAGTAAGAGTTAGGAAGGTGTACGCTTCTACAGAAATTATTTTGTACTACAGGGAAGTGTACAATTTTGTCTTAGTTAACGGGACCTGAATGGCTCACAGGAATTCTCCGTCATCATTTTAAGAGGTGACAATTCGGTAGGAAATTACGTGGGAGAAACATAATACAGCTGAGCTCGCCAGAAGAACTTGAGGTGGCTCGAACATCTTTCAGTGCTGCTCGAAGCGGAAAACAAGGATGAGACGGTGAGCGAAGCGATCTACGGTTACTGGAACCAGAAGCCGCCAGGTCTTTGCAGCAACCCCAGCAGCTGGATGCATACACAGCCACCATCTACCACCGCCGACGGCTGGACATCTGCAAGTGGTGCTGACGGGGCAAGAGGGACGGCAGGAGGGAGGCTGCGAAATCCACACCCGCCAGGGAAACTGCGAGCTGCCTGGGGCACAGCGGGCACGGCAAAAAGCGTATTTCACCGGAGAACTCGAGATACAGCCCTGCCACATACACACACCACCACCAGCACTTCTCGGCATTATTGCAATCCTTGCTCTGTGTCAGGCACAGGAGGAATTTGAATTGGATCTCTCATTCTGGACACGTTCTTAAACCATTCCACTTTTAGAGAAGGAGGGCAGACATTTCAGTGAAGCCTATTACCTTTTTTCTCTGCTTTCTAACATTTCAGTGTGAATCTAGCCTGAGCATACACCCAAACACTACCAGAACCTGCCAAAAATCAAAGTTTTCACAGATCCACGTTAAGTATTTCTCCATTCTGTATCTGGCTGAAACTACTGAGCAAACATAACCTGAACTCACTAGCAGTGTCAGACAGCTTGAAACAGTATTTTTCAGAAAGCTGACCCGTACATGTGGAATTACCCCACTCTCTTGCTAAGCCAAGGCAGAATTATTGGGCAGACCTGAGGCCACAGAGGTCTCTTCCAGACGGGCAAGGGCGGGCACCCCGGTGCAGCAGAGGCTGGTGGTCTCCGGGCACTAGCGAGCAATTAGGCAAGGTCTACCTGATGGCAAGCGCTAACCTAAAAGGTCAACCAGTGAGCAAGAGGAGAGAGGAAGAGAAAGCTCTCTCCAGGCCTCCTTTTCTGCTGGATGGAGTGCCGCCATTCCCACCAACAGTAGCTCTGGGACATCTGAGGGGCATGAGAGCACTGGCCTCAAGGAGCTGTGGCTCAGCCTCAATTCCTACCAATGGGAACAGTTAAAAAGCAACATTTATCACTATCATCTAGGAGGAGTGCCCAGAAATGCCTGAATTATCTTTTTATGGCCAGTGGGGACAAGAGAGGAGGAAGCTGTGAAGTTTGGTATCTTAAGAAGCATACAAAACCAAGTTAAGCTGCATGGAAATAAATCCTTGTGGATCATTACTCCAGAACAAAAGCTGCTTGAACTTTGTTACTTTCATCTGAATTGAGAATAAAAGCCATCTGAAATGGAGACAATCTCCTTAAGGTCTACATAACACAAGGCAAAGTCTTCTAGAAGCATTATCTGACCACGAGGGTCAGGCATTTGTTCTGCTAATTTGTTCCTAGATTATTCCAAGATATTTCTTTTGTCAGCACTTTGCCTATTTTAAGTCTGAGAGTAGGATCACGGAAACCTTCCCAGTGTCTCTTCTGAATTTCTCTGAATTAATCTGATTTCTACTCACAGTTCTTTGGCATGAGAAAGATGGGCAGCTGGCAAGCCAGAGGCCGGACTGCCTGATCGTTCCCCTGGTAGGAACAGCAGTCTCTGCGCTACCAGACCAACCTTAGGCACAGCTATTACACTGTAAAAGCAAGTCCACATCCACGCTTGTTTCCGTGGAGTGCCTCTCTCTGTCGCAGAAAGCAGGCGTGGTTTTCAAAACTAAAAGCAAGTTTGAGCTGCCCTGTCCAAACACCTGTACAGCTTTTCCGCACAGCATCTGCCTGCCTAATCAGCTACCCAGGACCTCTGCTCCTTAAGCAGCAGTTTATTCAAGGTGAGTAATCAGTATCTTTGATAAAATGGCTGGTGAGCAGTGACTGTGCTCCGATGAGGTAACTGGAATGGCTTGCAGGCACTGCTGTGTCAGGAGGCTCGGGGATCACGTGCATGCAGACACAGGACTCGCCCCATACAGACGGTGCGTGTGGACTCGCCCCGCGGCTGAAGGAACGTCCTCCGCAGCCTCCTCGCAAACCAGGAGTCTGAGACTTTGGCCCTTTGGGACCTTAAAACAGCACCGCTCCACAAATGATGTAATTTGCTAATGTGCTAGTAGGTCGGTTTTACCATACACCTCATTTTTGACCTGTCACCTTGCCAAAGTTCATAATAAACCCAGCACAGGACATAATCAGGATGATAGTATCCGACAACTTGTTTCTTAGCAATAAAAGCTGATCGAGGGTTGCAATTGCAGGGCTGTCTGAATTGCCATAAAGTGAAGTAATAACGTATGAACTCGGCTACAATCAAGGACCAACACAGCAGAAATCTTTAAAACTCCACGTATCACAAGTTCTTTAGCCTTTCTTCCGTACTTACTGGTGGGCATTGTGCAAGTTTATCAGCTGCCACCAACTGAACATTCAAGTGTTTACTTTGTGACTTTCCTCTAGATTTAATCAGTCGCTGCAAAACCTGACAGAGGAAAAGAGGAAAAGGTGAGTTTAAGAACCGCGTATCTCCATAAAGCTCAGCCTGACATCCCATTGGAGGATTACCAAGTTCAGCAGCTCTCCATTATATTTAACAAAATGGATAAAATCCTGTCCTTGAATACCAGCACAAACCTTTCTGATACCCATCCCGACAGCCGTGCGCATTTCCCTCTACATCACGTTTGACCCCTTGCAAATATTTCAAATGCAGGGTGAATGGTGATTTTGCTTTATTTTACTTGTAGTAGTAGATTATTTCTGACAAATGTCATCTTCTAGAGGACCACAAAAATTCTATATATACAGAATTATACTGGATTTCTGGATTGACTGTGGCACAACAGTAGCAGCACGTTAAGTTGTGTAGCAATAACGCTATAACTTCATCTGTTCTGAGGTGCATTTTGGGTACAGAAGGTATTTTACACACACAGTTCATATTACTTTTTTTTTTTTCTCTTCCACTATGTTCATTACTAGAATTTAAGGGGCGGAAAAGCTAGGAATCCTAAACTATTTCTCTGTAAAGTTTCAAAGAAAATTATAGGATCATAGAACAGAGTATTTTTTAAGTCAGAAGGACCTCTAGAGCTCTCCATGCCAAGCCCTCACTCAAAGGCCAGCTGGATCAGATTGCTGGGGTCCTTGTCCAGCTGAGTTTTGACCATTTCCAAGGAGATCCCACCTCTCCTAGCCAGGACTGACCCATCTGTGCTCGTACAGCCCGACATGCGGCTGATGCTCTGCTGCCAGGGCACACGGCTCACTCCTGTCCACGCTGTCACCCACCAAGACCCGCAGGTGCCCGGCTGCAGAGCTGCTCCCCAGCCAGCCGGCCCCAGCCTGGCCTGGGCACACGGGGCTACTCCAGCCCGGGGACTTGGTATTTGCCTTTGCTGAACTTCAAGAGCTTCCTGACAGCTCATTTCTCCAGCCTGCCAAGGTCCCTCTAAATGACAGCCCTGCCCTCTGGCACGTTGAGAATGAGCTATTCCCCACAACCTCATACATTACCAAAGGTCATTAACAAAAATGCTGGAGTGTACTGGCCCCATTTCAGCTCCCTGAGTGACACCACTGGTAACCAGCTGCCAGCTGGACTCTGTACCTCTGACCAGCACCCTGAACTGGGCAGTCCATCCAATCCTGCACCTCTCTTACCCAGACCATATCTCACCCATTTGCCCATCAGGATACTACAAGGAGACCACATCAAAGCCTTGCTAAAGTAAAGGCTAACAACAACTCTTCCTTTGTCCGCTGGGCTCATAACCTCATGACAAAAGGCAGCCAGGTTGGTCAGGCATGATTTGCCCTTGGTAAATCCCTGCTGGCTGCTCCCAATCGCTGCGCTCCCGAGCAAGCCACATTGACGCTCCACGGCAGGAGCTGGCCAGCAGCCTGGCCACACTGGTCCAGACCCAGCTGTGGGTGGTGTTACCAGCATGCCCCAGGCAGAAGCCGCAGACAAAAGCAGACAGGCTTTGTTTGCGATCAACAGACGACCACCTTTAACTGCCTGGGAAGCGGGCAAAGGGCTGGGTGTCTTCTCTGAAGCTCAGCCTAAGGTTAGGGCTTGAACTACAGCTCAGTAGGGTAGGGGGGCTGCAAAGGCACTGCCAAGGGCAACTGAGAGCTACAGAAAGAATTTGCTCCTCAGGAATTCTTTTTGTCTACTGAATTGGTGGGTGCCTCGTCTAAGGCTCGGCCCAAGGCTAGGTTAAGGTTTGGGGCAGAAAAAAGAAATTCCATCAGACATCCCCCTGTCAAGCCCTTGGTCTAAAAATTTCACTTTTTTTCCTCTTCATCTCACTCTTAATTTCTTCAGGTGCAGCCACCACACTGCTCACTCCCACACTGCCCTCCAGGTCCCTCTCAAATGCACACATTTTAAGGGTGAGATACATTACCTTTGGAGAAGACACTTTAACGTGGACAATAATTGGTGCTAAAGATGTCTTGATAAGTTGTGCAGGGTGATTGATAGTGTCTGCATCTAGGACAACCAGTTGTAAGGACCTTGCCAGCTCAAAGATTCTTTCAATTTCACTCTGTACTTCAGCTAGTAAAGGAAAACAAAAGAGGTGAAAGCCATTCAACCCCAGCGTTACTTCGACAAAAATATCATCACCCATTTATTTTCCTAGACTGTATACATTCAGTATATGAACTCCATATGTGAATTAATGTAATTTCCGTAAAATAACCTATTACTCAAGGCAATTTTTTAAATAAATATTACCTTTGAGACAATTCTGTTGCCTGAAAATACATACGTACTATGTCCCTTTATAATATCAGTGTATTTAAACACTGGGTACAATGAAATGCATGTTTCTGTATTAACACAAAATAGACTTAAGCGTATTTTCCGAATCTGCTAAATAGCTTAGGATTCGTAAGATTTTTTATTTTCGACAGCAAATAATGTATGGATATTTCTTAAAACCTTTTTTGTTTTCAGATTGTAATTCTGATTTAACTTAAACAAGAGTCTGTATGAAAAGCAGAACGGTGACCTCCTAATTCTATAACCACAAAAAATTGTTTCTGTTAAATAATTGACAGGGTATTATTTAAAAAGACGCTGATGGCAATGTTCACACCAAAGCACTTTTGTCTGAAGAAAAAGGAGAGATTTATTTCCATGTGAATTGTATTTCTGATATTCACTGTTGTGACCCTTCTTAATCATTCACATGCATGTGACGAATTTTAACTAGATAAACTCAACACAAATTGAAGCCTGTAAGTTACACCACCAAAGCACAAAAGAGCTGTATATCAGCAACTCGCACGCATTCAATTTGCCATTTGCCTAAGAGCTGTCCCACAGAGCAACGCATGGTCACAGGCACAGGACAGTTTAGTACTCACCAGCGGAGGTTTAGGTTGGAAATTAGGAAAAATTTCTTCACAGAAAGGGTGGTCAAGAATTGGAACAGGCTGCCCAGAGAGGTGGGGGAGTCACCATCCCTGGAAGTGTTCAAAAAACGGGCAGAGGTGGCACTTGGGGACATGGTTTAGTCCAGTCTACCCTTGATTGGCTTAGAGTAGACTTGGTAGTGTAGGTTAATGGTTGGACTGGGTGATCTTAAAGGTCTTTTCCAACCTAAACGATTCTATGATTCTATGATTCTATGATTTGCAGCACTTAATTTTGGGGTGCCTACTCCTGTACTCGAATGCCAACTAGAAGTGAAGCGTCCTACGACCCCCACCTCTAGTTCAGTCACTCAGGATGTCAGAGAATTGGGTTTAAGAGCCCCTTCTTCCTGAGAAGACTGAAAACTAACTCCTCCTACGTCCTAGGATGGTGTCCCAGAGACCAGGTTATTGGCACGCGTATACTACACACAAACTTCCACCCTTGTGAAGAAAAAAAAAATCATGAGGCCAGTGTAACCCAGCAGTCGTGACACTGTGAGGAGAGAGCGGGAAGACCCAGAGTCTCATGGCTAGACAGCAAAATTAAGCTGTAGCTGTTCAACATTAAATACAAAATCAGTCCCAGGGTCAGGAACAACACGCTTCCTTCTTGGCCGGACAAAGTGAAAGCTCTTTGGCACCTTGTGATGCGGAATTAAAAGCACAGGGTTGTGAAGAGGGAGCTGTGAGGCCAACTCACCTTGGGAGGAAACAGCACCGAACCCATGTTCTGACTGCAGGCGTCTTTTGCAAATAGCAGCTCTAATACTGCTTGCTCTAGCCCAGGTAATTGTTTAACGCGAGGCTAATGCAGTACATTGTGCTGTTGCCCCTCCTCAATCAGGAAAAAACTGTCTCCCATTTGAGTATGTGAAAGTCAGAATTACACATTAAAACGCTGTAGACACATTTAAAATTGCAGAACTGATGACATCCTGAAGGTTGAAATCCTGTCACTCACCACCAGTATGTAACCATGTTCAGAATTCCATCTGTGTCAATGTCTTACCTAAACTGGATCTTGTATTTGACCGCTCAATTATTGCCCTCTTGCTTGGATTATTTAGAACAGACCTCTTAGCAAGAGAAATGTCAGCTGTCACTCTAGTTATTGATATCCTAGGAGTAAGAACACAGGACAGAACAAAAACATAGTCAAATTTTCAGCACGCTGTGCAAGATCTACAGCTACATTCCATTCCAAAGTGCAAATACAATAAAATACCACTCAGACATGTTTTATAGCTGAGCTACGTCATCATTAAAGAACAACTAAAGAGAAACGCTGCGTAACTGTAAAGTATTTTCTATTCCCTACA